TCCATCTCAATGGTAGCCACACCACCATCCATATGCGCGACCTCTTTGATCTCTTCGCTGATCGTGACATGGATGGCAAGCTTGTAGAAGCTGTCATACATATGTTCCGCGGCTGGATAGCCATGCATCATCCTGAGTTGTCCAGTGTCAGGCTCGACACTTTGGACTTTCAGTATCCTTTCCTTCCGAACAAGTCAGATGACCGTGCTCCGGACTGGAGTCGTTTCTGGGACGACTCTCCTGGGGTCTTGTCCCATCTCCACCGTGTGTGCGAGCATGTTTTGAGCGGCGAGATCACACGTCTCATAGCCCCTCTGCACACCAGAAATGGCAACCATTGGGCTGCTCTCGAGATCGACTTCCTGCCTGATGCTGTTCGCTTCGGCGATTCCCTCAATTATCCACTGAGGAAGCATGATAAAGATGGTGTCTTACAGCTGCTTCGCAAGCTACGCTTCGATGATTCGTTGACCATTGACTTTTGGGGCGAGCTTCCACATCCCGTTCAGGACGATTTGTTCTCCTGCGGAGTTTGTACATGGAATACGATCGAGCGCACTGTCTGGCCCGAAACCCCCCTGTGGAACCGGGCCTACAAGTCCCTTGAGCGCATGGAGTATGCTATACTCTTGGCTACACAAGATGGAAGCCCTTACACATTGGTATGTTTGCTCTGCTGTGCGAACTTGGTTCTTACTGAATGTTGCTTCCACAGATGCAACTCGGCCTGTCCCATGATATCATTTCTGCACGACACAATAGCTGTAGAATTGCCCAGCTTGGCCCTATCATCTCCGCTCCCATCGACATCTCATCTGACGAGGAAGAGAGCGAGCTCGACCTGGCCAATGGCCCTTCCACCTACGATCATTATGACGAGGAGCTCGACCGTATGCTTGCGCCACACTCTGACGACGAAGAGTCTGCATACAGCCCATCCGATGCAGATATCGACGAGCTCGATTCATCGGGCAGTGACAGCGGCAATGATGACAATGAGGCACCATCTTTTGTGGCCTCTCTCCCTTCTCGCACCTCGTCACTTGCTCCAGCTTCGATTCCCACTGCACCGAGCCCACTCCGCCCAACTACGCCCTCACTCCCGAAAGGGGTGTCGCACCCCTCTATTCGCTCATCCCGAACATTCGCACCTGTTCCTTCACGAGCGGGGCGTGCCAGCATGTCGAGCGGCATTGCAGCATTCTTCCGTGTTTTGACACCG